AACTTCAAAAGAAGGACTGCTCATTATCACCACACTCAACGTCTAGGCTAATAATTTCGGCAGATATGATATTATAACATGTAAATGAAGGTGTGCGCACAGAATATTCATGCAGATAGAAGTATACAACTTGGGCACTGTGGTAGAGCATAACTCCATTATGGATAAGATTTTATTTTGATAAATCACACAGTGTTGTACAGTAATATTAACAGTTAACATTACTGTACAACACTGTGTGATTTATCAAAATAAAATCTTATCCATAATGGAGTTATATTCATGCACATGCATAAAAGTTAAGAATCCGTGTGTATTGTGACAACGTAAATAGTTACATATTTCAGTTTTTAAATTATTCGTCGCTTTATGGCTTTAATTATTGTTTTTGAGCTTTCCTTTGACCAGGTTATGATGAAGCAGTGGCCTAGTAGATAATGCTTTGATGTTTGAATTAATGGATGCTGGATACAAGTTCAACCAGGGACAACACAACCTACATCCATGTGAAGAGTTCTAGATAACGGAGAGCACACGCTCTGTGTGCTTTAGGTTTTTCCATCAAATGCAACTAATTAAACATCATGCAGTATTTTCATTTAGTTTACTGATATAAAGTAGTTTAATATCTACACTGTTTCCCTGTGGACTTTTACCTATACATCACGATTGAATATTGCTACTAGGCATGTTTAAATGCATTGAGTTAAAGGAACAAAATATAAACATGATTTTTATGTACTTGTCTTATTTACCTTTAGGCATCATATCCGCTGGATACTTAACAGAGAAGTGAATTTTTTAAAAATTCCAAATGAAATTTTGGTGAACACATGATTTACTCTTTGGAAGCCTGACGGTGACCGTGACTTTTCGATAAAACATTTAGTGATGACTCCTAATACCTGTATCACTTATAGTTTAAAAGCTTACACCAAATTTACATGCCTACTACTTAGGCTGTTTTTGACTGACTATTCGATTAGAGAGATTAGATTTCATCCACACGTATTATTTAATAATGAATTATGTTATTAAGATGATGCTTAGATAAAAACAGATCTATGATGCATTAAAACAAAATCAAACTGAACGGAATGATACAAAAAAAACAAATAACATCATATTCGTTCAATATACATTTTACTCCTAAAATGTGTAGCTTCTGCATAATTTGCTAGTGTCCAGATGGCTTTCCTTATTTCGTATAATAAAGAGTTAGACATCATTTTTCAAAAGGAAGACAGCAGTCACACAAGGCAATGTACTGATTGGAGACTGATTTCAGTAAAAATGGATCTAAATACCGAAATTCTGTTCCTCTTGTTTGGGGGCCAAGCTCATCACTGATGCTAACCCAGCATAACTCAACTCACAGGGTTGAATCAAATATTTTTTCCAAGCCGAAGGAAAGAATAAAACGATACACTTATCTTCAAAATATTATTTGATTATTGTCTATCTTTGATATAAACTAAATTCAACTAGAAAAAATTGCAAAATACGAATCATTTTGAGTAGGATGCATTCATTTACTGAACTAGAAGTAATTAAGTTACATTCCTTCATCAAAATGGTTACTAAAACTTATAATTAATTTTGTAATTCTACGTGTCGATATGCCAGTTATCGTGTCACATATATTTATCTAAATATTTGAAATTTTTACACAGAAAATGACGATACTTTTCACCTCTAATGTGGATATTGTAATTTATATTCTAACTTATAATCCTTTTAGAAAACAATATAACTTCTTGCACTTATTGAACTTTACGTTTCAGGTGAATAGATAAAAATCGATACTGACATGTCCTATGACAAAAATAAAACTAAAGAATTAAGTAAAGACTGATGCAGTCATTATTCACCGCATATTTGTGTTCGATAGCTTCTTCAAGTTATCAATCTAACTATTGTGAGAATGAAAGGAAAGTAGCACTTTTTTTGATTATCTGTTACTAAATAGTAGTTGACTGCTTCGTATAATAATACCCTGTCAGAGCTCACTACCTTAGATAATCCTTAAGCTTGCTTCAGACCTAATTAGCGTTACTCCTATAGCTAGACGATAGCTTGCCTTAAGCAATACACGATATAGGCAACTCATTTCCCAATAAATCACCACCGGGTTAGACGAACCGTGCTTAATATGACTAAAGATGGAGAATTCGAGAACGTTTCTTAACTGGCACTTCCGACAGAACTTATAAACTCAGACACACTAGTGAGGAGGTCAAATTGTTTGCTGATTTGACCGCATATTATCATTAAATAAAAAGGCACCAACTAATCTTAAGGTGTCAGACTAAATTCAGAAGGTGAGAGCAAGTATTCAAGTCTTAGCTGTGAATGCTCAGAAAACAGGTAATGAGAAAGTATTTTAAGTATCTATAATACATTGTCTGTGGGCTATTTCTTTTACAAACAGCTGGTAAATCCTTCAAATTCTAAAGCCAAATACCTATCGTCCTCGACATATCAAAGCGAAATTAGTTCATGAAGGCAAGTCTTGTGCACCCCAAACAAAACACCACCCTTCAATGAATGCATATGCTACAAAGACTATAAAGTTACTGAGAGCACGGAAAGTAACAGATCGGATCTCATGAAGTTCAACAAAACCCGATCCGGAAGCCTCAGTGGTCACACTTATGCCCCATTATATGTGTGGAAGTAGAGAGGGTAGCTACCTTGTCAAACTTACAAAGAAAAGCAACTTAGTCTTTTGCAAGAAGAGGCGCAAAGTCATGCTCCTATTTATCCCAAGTAAAATGTTAAACGGCGTTATCCTTGGGAGACGGAATGGGTCAGAAAAGTTACATAGGCGTTCTTACTGTGAGATCAATGTGGAGCTTCCGTATCAGAATTTTCAGCAGCAATGTCAAGCCGGTGCTTCTCTATGACCCGAAGGCTTGACCCATATGTAACTAAAATCATTCCTAATAAATTTTTATCAATAGTCTCCTTTACTCGATTCTGAAGATCGAGTGGCTAATGAGAAAGAATGAGCAACAGCGAACTCTTGCTGGTAGAGGATCAGCAAGCAACCCATTACATAAATAACACGCAGAAACAGTGGAGATGGAATGGATGTCCACAAAGAAAACTGTTGAGAGGCATCAGAGACAATACCTTTTGAAGGATCTAAATAGAAAGCGATGGGATGAGCGTCCGACAGTGACTTAGAGAAGATCACATTGGAAGAAATTAAAGACTTTAAGTAGTTGTGAAGCCCGTCGGATATTATGTAAGGGAATCGAATGCAACGCAGGTGCGCTGCTGAAGTCTTATGTTATACATTCAAAATTATTTACAATAAAATCTCCAAAACAGCATTTCACAGCACTGTTAGAACTCGTCTCAACTGGTGACGCATAATGGAGTGGTTACTTCAAGGAATATAATATGTACCTGGAATTTACAGGCTATACGTTAGTAAGAATATGATTCAACATTGTGGAGTTCCATTTTAAATTTAAATGATTACTGACAGTAATACTTGAGGCAAGAATCACTCTGAATAGATTAACAACATTTATATTCGAGTGGATTAAATCTGTTTAACCATTACGTTAATTGTTATCTGACAGCATATGCTTTTCGATACACTTAAAATTTTTCATTAGACACTAATAATTAATGTGATGTGTCTAGTCCTTTGTTTGGTGCAGAGTGAATTCTGTCAGTCAGGTTTGCAAAGTGGCCACCATCTAGGTGGCTTTAAAATCACGGTGCTAAGTGGTAACTTCTCTAACTGCAGCACTGGGTGACGCGGGTTTGAATATCAGAAGGCACATGTGTTCCTTCAAGGTTGCTGACTGGTGAGTGCCAACTAGCACGAAACCAGGGCATCCTGGCGATTGCCTCCAACCATCTAACACTTGAAATCTGATTAAAATGAGAACCGCAATCAAAACCCTATGAAATATATATATATATATGAATGCTGAGAAAAAATAAATCTAGAAGTTCGACTCAAAAGTCATAGCCAAGACAGATGCAGAAATATATTTTCACAACGAGATATGTGAAAAACATATTCAACGCATCGATAGCTGAACTTTTTCGCTAGGATTATCTTTCTTATGAAATTATGGAATAACAAGATAAATATAAAATTATCGAAAGTTGGTTTACAGGGATTAGACAGGTTACAGTATTCATCATCAATTGACATCAGTCAGATAACCATTGGAAAACCTGGAAGTACTACAAAGTTGTTTTGTCCCAGTTAGGGACTCTTCACAGTACGCACCCACTAAACAGGTTTTAGCTCATCCCACCCCTCCCCAAATTACAAGGGGAGGTCGTAGACCATTCAGCCGCCGGGACCCTCTTCAGAGGTGCATGAATACCAGCTTCTGCCAATTCATGATATATTTAGCGCTGCTGCCAGCCACTGTCACAGGTGAGTAACTGTCCTCTTGCCTGACTTGGTGTACCTCGCTGGTTACGATTTCCGACTAGGACAATAGACTTATTTCTGTAGATAGCCAGACGTTTCTATTCAACAATGTATGCCTTGTTTTAAAAAAAATAATAAGTGGAATTGAACACTTTTTTACAGCTCTATTTGGATCTTTGTTTGAAATTATTTATTGTGCGTATTACTTTTATTATTTATGAGTTTTACCGCTTCTTTGAAGTTCTAATGCTGACAAGTTGACCACAGTGTGTGATAAAATCTTGTGATTTGATTACAGCAACGCAAACCACTGAAGACCATGTATTCTGAAATGACTAACTCCACTAATCTTCCCCTACCTTTTAAAGTCTTCAAACTTTTGTTGTTTTGTTATTTATAACCAGATGTCTATAAAAATATTTAGTACTGTTAGCAGGTAAAAAAGCTCAATTTAAGCTAATACCTTGCAGTGAATCATTATACAACACCGCTTATGAAGTTTTATTATTGTGATTATGCATACTTGTGGAAGATGTTATTTGAAATTCATTTGTGTGAGGTAAACGTTTAAAAAAGTATTTATATAACTTACTCTAATTCTGCGCATAGACGAAACAATTTCAAGACGGTTCTGTGGCCTTGGTATATCCATACCACCGACAAACTAATAAATTAAAAGAAATTAAATAAGCACATTTAAACATCTTTGTTTACTTTTTATTATTTGAAACAAGAAACATGATGCATTCAACCATCTTATTAAAAGTTTGTTTTTTTGTATGAGTTTTTTGTATAAGAGTTGTGTATAACTAGATTAGTGTTACACAGGTTTTTCGTTGAAAATTTGGTGCTTTCGGACTTTCATCGCCGTGTCAGGTGTGTAAACAGATGATGTAGTCATTCTAGGTGAAGATGCTGACAAAATGCAGAGTCTTCTAAACACTATGAGCTGCAATCTGTGAATGTTTGGGACACGATTCGCTCCCACGAAATGTAAGACGATGCTGTAGGACTGGACTGGACTACATTGACTCCTAGCTTAGAAATAGGGAATGAATGAACGTTGACCACTCAACTTATTTGGGAAGTTGCATCAGCCAAAGCCAACGGGTTGATCGCTGACGAAATCCCATCACGGATACAGAGAGCTAGTATCGCATATGCCAGTTTACGCCGTCTCTGGCGTAGATGTGATATCCGACTAGCTGTAAACCAAACGGCATGTGTACTGCTTAGCAGTTCTCTCTATTCTCCTATATGGCGGTGAGTGTGACATGGCTACTAAAAGTCAAGGATATGAAAAGGCTAGCTGTCTTTGAACACAGGTGTCAGCGTTCTATCTCCCGTGTGAAGTAGTATAATAGGGTTAGCAATATTGAACTGAGTCATCGGGTGAGTGCCAGGTAAGGAGAGGAAATCAGTAGACGAGATTGTAAAGTTAAATTGACTGAGATGATTAGAAAATGTGTGACACATGCACCTAGCCATCGCCTTCCTCGACAATGGGGAATGTTAGCTGACATAGAGTCAGGTTGGAGAAGAGCTGTTGGTGGTCTAACCAATACATGACTTCATCAGTCAATGAAATCCACAACAGTTTAGGAAGGGACATGAGTTCCTTCAAGGTTGCAGATACGCCTTGCTGATGAGTGCCAACTAGTACGAAACCTAGGTCCAAGGCTTCCAGTGGCCGATTGCCTCCAACCATCTAATATCATCAAATCAATGTGCACCATGATGACAAGCTACCTAGAATGGTGACCACATTGTAAACCTGACTGATAGAATTCAGTCTGCACCAATGAGAGGACTAAACATGTCACGCTAGTTACTAGTGTCCAATAAAAATGGCCTTCAATACTTTTTGAATTGTCAGAAGAAAAATTTAAACTCATTTTGATGCTCTTCATGTTACCCACATTTGACTTTTACTTATAACTGCTTTAATTAAAGAAAACTTGTTTGTACGATAGAAGGACAAAGATTCAGTCAATAACTCAGACCTTTTACATTACGAATTTCGGCTTGGGATCTATGATTCATCTTAATGTATTTACAGTACAGTTCACCTTTAAAATATGAAGCACTAACAATGTAATTTTATTAATTTAATAATATGTTACCGCGAAATGTAGTAAACTTTGCAAAGCGTACACGTACACACGCACACAAAAATGAGTTTACACAAAAGTGTTTTGTTTTATAAATTAATGAAAGTAATGAAAAATCTGTACTTTTAAAGATATCCTTGGAGTTTTTGCGGCATCTTAAATAATTGTTTCCAGTATTCACAGAAATCATTATTTAAAAGTGACTAGTGAAAAAATCAATTAATGTGGTTATGTTAGTTCCTCGTGTGTTAAAGCATAAAGTTAGACTATTTAATATTATTAGATAAGCGAAGGAAAGAAATAATGATAAATATACGACAACTGTTACCTTGGATAACATTTTCATCTGTTCAACTACATCTGCGGTTATTACAACTATACCGCAAGTAGAATTCTAAAGACTTCATGTAAATTTTTACGAGTTGATCACGAATTGATATCAGTTAGAGAACCATTGAAAACCAGGGAGTACTGGATAGCTGCTGTTTCATCCTAGTTTGAGAATCATCGGCAGTACGCACCCACTGGGATTCGAACCCAGGACCTTCTGGGTACAAAGCGAGCTCGTATACCATTCAGCCACTGCGACCCGATTCAATGGATCATGAATTCTAACTTCTACTAATTCGTGATTTAGCGCGACTCCAACCATTGTCGTTGGTGGGACATCCATCCACACAAGCTTGCCTTGTAACCGGAAGGTCCTGGATTCGAATCCCAGTGGGTGCGTACTGCCGATGATTCTCAAACTAGGATGAAACAGCAGCTGTCCAGTACTCCCTGGTTTTCAATTGTTCTATAACTGATATCAATCCGTGATCAACTCGTAAAAACATAACTAACCCTTACAAATCAAACTATAGAAAACTTCATGTAAATAAAACTACAACCGCATTCTATGGTTAATTTACTGCAATATAGATGCTAAAACAACAATATTAGTGTATTTACTTTCAGTCTACATAAGTTTTATCAACTCAGAAACACTCTTAATCAAAGGAAACGTGATTGATAGATTTTAAAATGATGTGCTTAGGTGTATTAGATCATGAAGGTGGTGAGTCAAAAACATAGTCTTAACAGTGATCAATTGATACATTAATTATTCAGCGCTACATTATTTAGTCGTATTGAGACGTATAGACTTAATAGATGCATTCATACACGGTAATAGTACATTGGTGCGTCGGTGGCATAGCAGTAGAATGCTCACCGAGCACGCATGTGGTCCGAAGTTCGATCTCCAGGCAACGCATTCCCTTATCTCTCTACTCTGGTAACAAGACTGGTGATTAGGGAAGGTTGCGCATGAGACTAGCAACCCCATCCTGTAAAATTGATCAACACTGCTACCGAAACTCCAAGCCTCTAGCTTGAAGCCCTATATTCCACTGGGAACATAAAGGAATGAAAATGAAAAAATTTAAAAAAAACTACATTGAGAATAATTATTTAAACTAACCATGAGTGTCAGTATGTTTAAAGTCATAGTCACTCTGAACAGGCTTTAAATCATAATGCGAACTTAGGTTTGTTAAAACCTACCCATAGTGCACATGTAACAAGTATTAGTACTTTGCTTAAGATTTACTGCTCTCAGTAATGAGACAGTCGCTTATTTATTCAATGCCTTAAAAAGCATAATTAACTTCCTGAGAACTTTCTACATTGTCTTAACCAAACCTTTCTATACCAGTTTACTAGCTTTTACTGTTATTTCCATGATCCTTGTTAGGTAGCTTAGACTTTCAAACTAACATCATCTTTTCAAAGATGACTGTGTCGATGGGAGTATATTTTAATGTAATAAATGCTTACAATTTTAGCCTCAACGCTTCTTTGTCTGATTACCAAAGCTTAGGTATTTTGAGCCATCAAGGATTTATGTTGTTTTTAATACGTTAAACAACTTTAGTTAAAATTACGTCATTTCAGATTTTGAAAAATATTTATGCAGATAGTTTCTTTATTGAAAATAACTATTTAACAAGGAAAAAACAGTGGCCAAAATTTGCAATATAAAATGGCGTCATTCTATTTTACAGGTTCTCATCAGCTGCAAACTACCTGAAATTGCAACAGTCTTAAAAATGACAATATGATACTTCAGTATTTGAATGGTGATAGAGAAAATATTATAAAATTAACGTATCCAAACTGCTAGCACTACAACTTTTAGTCTAAGTTAAAATCAGTTCATATGATTTCAAAGGAGAAAACTTGGGAGGTTGGGGAGAAGATTGAAAACAGAAAAATACAATAAACAGTGTCAGCTTGTAAGTTCACGTAGTAACTCAAGACATCTTGCTCAGTGAACTGAAAGCACTGAAACGGATGACTGAACAATGTGATCAAAATGCAGTAACCAAGGGAGTAGGAGATTGATTAAACTCTGTTTCTGTATGCATAGGTTTCGTTTGAAAGGTTTCATTGCAATCGCTTCAGAAAATCTTAGTCAATTCTCTGTCCTTTGTATATTTAATATTTTGAATTTGAAAATCCCTACAAAATAAGCCACATCCATAAGGTGTCTGCGAATATCTGCTTCCCTCTAGACGTTCAATTCTTGTGATATGCTCAGAAAATAAGTTAGGGACCAGTAGGTTGCAGCAGCTTGGGTGTGAGGACAAATACTCGCTGAAGCTGGCTAGCTGTTGCGCTATACGTGAATTAACAGAAGTTAGAATTCATGGGCCATTGGATCGGGTCCCAGTGGCTCAATGGTCTACGAGCTCGCTGACCTTGTAACCAGAAGGTCCTGGGTTCGAACCTCGTGGTGTGGGTGCGTACTGCTGAAGAGTCCAAACTAGGACGAAGCAGCAGGCTGTCCATTACTCCCTGTTGGTTTTCCAATGGTTCTCTAACTAATGTCAGCTCCTAATGAAATCTTGTAACCCTTCTTTCTGTCCTTCCAGATTACTTGCTCCTGGTAGTACACGTGAAGGTATAACGGCAGATGGAGATGACAACAGCATGAGACTTATTCAGTTAAGATTAACTGTATTACTTATGCAGTTTCCTAAATATAATCCGTGATTTAATTTTTTTAGAATAACAAGCCTCACTAGTCTGTGGCAGTAAATACTGTTTGGTAGTCATGTCTGGGAAACAGGCTTTAGAGTTAAACATTTTCATGACTTTATCCTCGTGTGTAAGTGACCTACCACATCAGAAATACTTTGTCATTCCCACTTGTATCCCAGGTGCTCTTATTCACTCTGGTGTGATTTGGAGGTATGCGTTATCAACAGGCAGAGAGTCTTGAAAATAATATAACAAATTAATTTACATCTGTAAATGTGGTTGATAATGAAAAACCAATTTAATGCAGTAACTGAGTCTTCGAGGTCATTGGTAGTAGTTACAATTAAAATTTAGTGTAGTGCAAATCTTATTTTGTTTTTTGTTTCATATTCACCTCAAATGCATGAGAATACATTGAGCATTCAGTAAAACAGGTAATCTTGATATCAAAAGCGAGAAAAACAAAGTGATTTTTTATTAGAATTTACACCTATATGTAAATATTATTTAAATGAATTTTAGATTTTCC